AAAAAAAAAAAACCAAACCTTTACATAGAAATTGATGCAGTAATTCATTTGATACTGTATTCCCAGGACTGGGGATATAGCTCAGTGGTACAAGCACCTGCCTGTCAAGTGTAAGGTCCTGAGTTCGATTCCCAGTACAAAAAACAAAAAACAAAACAAAACAAAAAAACCCTCAGTAATTCCCTTCGCTGTATCAGTAATCCAAATTGTAAAAATGAACAGTAAGAAAACATTTTTTCATGTAATTTTTAATTTTGAAAATCAGGTAGTAGACAAATAGTTGATTTTTTTTTTAACATAAGTACTTTTATACATTTTTTAAAATAGAAATAATATTTTGCTTGAGATTATTTGGCACTTCTTCCTCACTTTTGGGGGGAGAGCCTCTTTTTAAAATATATTTTTACTACTTGAATTTAGAAAATGTAGCAGGTCTTCTGTCTTTACTGAAAATTCAGTGGTTATCTTTTATAAGAATCAGCAATAACATTTCCAGTATTAGTAGAGCTGCCTCAGAACAATTAATGTTTTGTCTTATCTAGCATTATATAGAAATAATTGTAGTTTTGGTCAGTCGGACTTCTATTTTATTTATGTAAACCTTATGGTAAAATTTATCAAATACTGATTTTTTTTTTCCCTATTGAATGCCTCCTAACCATTCCAACTTTTGGTAGCATAGGATTATGTTTTATGTCTCTAATTGTGAATGAAAAAAAATGTATAGATTAACAGAACGCCATTCTGAGTTAACTTTTCATTTCTTGTTTCTGATTCTTTCAAACTGAAATATTTCATTCAAAACTAAAATACTTGAGAGTTATTTTGTTGTTTGCCTTTATTTTTGTTTTCTTTTGCTAGCCTGTAGGTATATCAGACTTTCCTTAGTTGTCTTTAGCTCTAATTCATGCAAGGTTGCTTAATTGACAAGCATCTGTCAGGTGATTTTTAAAATTGAGCCTTGGTAGTATTCAAATAATAATCACATGTATTTATACAAATAACTATATTTATCAACATTTACACATTTAAGAACGAACAGTTTCGCTGTATGTGCAGCATTTACATAGCATTAACTGTGTGCCTGCAAAGTGCTCTGTATAGTAAGTCTCTTTAGGTAAGGATTAAATGAATAAGGTAGTGTTGTTATCCTGTATCTAACAGAGGAGGGAACAGGCATAAAGAAATAAGTGACTTGCCCAAAGTAACACAGCTGGGGTTTGAAACAAAATATATGACTCCAAAGTATGTGCTGTTAATCAATGTACTATAATAAATTTATACCTTGGCATTACTTTTGAATATGTTTGGAACCTAAAGATGTTCTGTTTCCAGCAACAAATTTTCATGTCTTTTGCTTCTAAAGTATTTTAAAAGCAAGAGAGGTTTCTACTCATTTAAAACAGTGGTCTTTTCAAGAAATAGGCAAAACAATGATATTTTGAGATTTTTTATTTGTTTTTCAAGCATATACGGGTAAGACATTTTATCTATAGGAATTCATTATTTGCCAAGGAAAACTCAAGAGGACAAGTGTTAGGAGCGTGGTAAGAGTGAACCCTTTTGTATGTCCTGAGAGCACTAAAACAACAGGTACATTCAAATAAGTAATTGATGTGGCACTGCCATAATCCCTTTCATAGAACAACACTGTGTTAGGAGTATAGTCCTGGAAGTTTTATGAGAGTAACAGAGGGCTAAGTCATGCGCTTCCCCCAGTAATTTGGAGAAAGAAAAATAAAATTGCCCTCTCAGTAGGCCACAATAGTTTGTTTTGACTATAGGGCATGGAGTAGAATATGGAGAGATCAAGATGGGTAGATACAGTGCCTGCCAGAGAAATAGAACCAACTATAACCAAGTAGGCAATAACAAATAGCATTATCCTGCTGTGTATGGAAAACACTAGTTAAAAAATAGAAGATCAACATTAATCAAGAATAATAAAAATACTCAAAAAGACAGACATGGACAAAGCTCATTCAAGCCCAGACTACAAGGAAAGTTTCTGGTCCAGAAAATTAATCTCTTTGGCAAAATTGTTGTCCAAGTGAGAGAATCTTTTCAGATCTTCATCTGTGTCACACCATCTTCTAATAATTCCTTTTCCAAATAGTTTACCAACAGCTACAAAGACATATACATTAGTCAAAGGGCTATAGATAAACACAGAGTGGTAAAGAATGATTATTGAAGCCAAATAATAAGTACCTCGGAATAGTGGTAAGGGTTGTTTCTTGTTATTATTATCTTTTGTTTTGTTTTGTTTTGTTTTTAAGGCATTGAGGGTTAAAGTCAGGGCTCTCACACTAAGCTAACCCCTGGTGCTTTTAAATTTTTTTAGTTTCAGAGCTAGGTATGGTGATTACAGGCACAAGCCTGTAATCCCAGCACTTGGGAGGCTAATGCAGGAGTATAACTGCGTTTGAGCCCAGTGTGTGCCATAGTGAATTCATGGCCAATTTGAATTACATAGTGAGGTCTTGTCTCAAAAAATAAACAAGCAATTTTTTAAATTTTGAGACAAGGTCTAATAAAGATGCCCCGGCAGGCTGGACTTGAACTTTCAGTCTTTCTGCCTCAGCCTCCCAGAGTGTTAGGATTAAAGGTGAACACCACCACAACCAGTTTATCATTCTTTTCTACTTTTATAAGTCAGTTTTTCCATAATAGATCATATTAATTGCCATGTAATGCAAATACCAATGCCATGTGGCTGTTGTATTTCTTTTTATAAATTTAGTTATTGGCTTGGTTTAAGAGCTACTTAGTCATTGTAATTCAGGTTCCCTTTTAGATAAAAATTTACTGATAAAAGTGGGGTCTGAGTTTACAAGGCTGCAGAACATGTCTTGGATTGTGGAAGATGGACCAAAGGAATGTTCTCACCAGGATGTTTGATCATCAGTCATTAGAACTTAGAGGTGCAGGGCCAGGGAGATGGCTCAGTGGAATAAGTGCTTCCCTGGCAAGCGCAAGGGCCTGAGTTCAATCCCCGGTTCCGCCAAAACCCAAAAAAACAAAACAAAAACTTACATAAAAGAACTTAGAGGTGCTTCTGAATCATGTTTACTAACAAGATTGTTTCCAGTCATTTCTTTGGCCATATCTTTAAATCATATTTTTAAAGTCAGAGTAGAAATTTTGAAAGTTGATATTCCAAGATAAGAATTCCTCTGTTGAAGAGGAATGACACAATTTATTTTTCCACTATTACCATTTCTTTTTTTAAAAAGTTTGCTTTATTCTCTAATTCACTTTTCTGTTTTTATCATAGCTCTCCCAAAGCTAATAAATGTTGTATTAAACCTCCTTTTCTATTTTTAAACAAGTTAGGCTCTTAGAGGAGGTCATAGCTGATAAATATAAAAATTTTAAAAATTAATGACTTTATAAAAAGCATTTGAAGGAAAAATGATAGAAATATAAAATAATGATTAATTACGATGATTAATAGTTCTAGACAGGGATCATCAATGACTGCTGAGCTCACAAAAAGAAAAACAGTCATACATTCATGCCTCTAGGTAGAACTACAAAACACTATTAATGCAGTTTTCTTTCCAGAACAGCAAATCAGAAGGAATCATTCAGCCTGCTAGATCCAGCTGTCAACATACAGGAAATACAGTGTACAACAAATAGAGAGCTAACAAAAGACTATAACCAGCATATCAGAGAAATTATTTTAATGCTGTCCCAAATGTGGACAGTACTATAGAACAAATTATCTATTTTTTTCAGAGTATAGAGACTAAGAACACTATCAACCAAATTGTAATCTGTGAACTTTATTTGGATTGCAACATATCATACATAGCCACTTATGATAAGTTTAGAATAATTTCAACACTGAGTTAATAATCATTTTAAAGTAGTATCTGAAAATTGTTTTAAAATAATGTAGGAGTGAAATGGGAGCTTGCTGAAATACAATTGGTCTTGATAATTACTGAACTTACATAATGGGTGCATGGCTTTTTATTGTATGACTTTGTATCACTACTTTTTATAAAGTAAGCTGAAATTTATTTATTTATTTTTTTCAGAACCAGGGATTGAACTCAGGCCCTTGTGCTTGCCAGAGAAGTGCTTATTCCACTGAGCCATCTCCCTGGCCCCAAGCTGAAATTTTTACATACAGAATTTACTAGAGAGCTAGGTTGCAGGGCTGGAAGTGGAACTCAGTAGTACAGCATGTGCTTAGCATGCAGAATGATATGGGTTCAATCTCCAGCACCAAAAGCAAAGAGCAAAGTCACTTATGCCATCTAGGATATCTTATCTGTTTCAACTAGATGATCTGTAAATTTCACTGGTAAAAATTTAATCAATTTTAGCATTTTGTCTCTACATGCTAATAAAACTCTTGCTGAAAGCCTTAAGATCTTAGGGCCAGCCAAATAGCTCAGCAGATTAAAGCACCTGCAAGCAGACACAGGGGATAGGGGTTCGATCCCTGGGCCTGCTGTGCAGCCCCCACCCCCGGGGCATGCTGAGACAGCAGTTGAGATTGGGCATGGTGGTGCGCACCTGTAATCCCAGCTCTTGGGAGACTGTAAACAGGCGATGACTACGAGTCTCATCTAGTAGTGAGACCTTAAACACCCTGTAGACCCTTCCCTAAAATACAAAAAAAAAGTTAAAAAATCCTTGATATCTTAATTTTTGTATTTTTTTCATTTCCTGAAGTCTATTTATAGCTTTTTAGTCCAACATATAATTAGTAGTGAGACTGCTGCTTATGAAATGTCCTTACTTTAAATACGAGAGTGATTTTGTTTTTGTTTTTAATAGGTTAGGTAATTGGTTCATTCATTCATTTATCCAGTATGCTAGAGATTGAATTTAGAACTTCATGTGTTCTAAGTGTATACTATACTTTTGAGCTACATTTCAAACCCCAGTTTATTTCTTTAATAGCTTAGTTTTCTATTGTTTTTTACTTCCACTATCTTACATGCTAATTACCATCGCTGGAATATGTTGTATTATTTTAGGTACTTGCTACAGCCACGAGACAATGGGAACAAGTCATCTAAAACTGATGATCTGGGATCTCTTCGATTAAATATATGTTATACAGAAGATTATGTGCTTCCTTCAGAGTACTATGGTCCTTTGAAAACTTTGCTGCTAAAATCACCAGATGTTCAGGTACTCTTAAATATGACTGTATGTTTTAGTAACTTTTCCTGTTGCTGAAACATTAATATCCAACAACCAAGGTAAAAAAAAAAGAAAGGTTGGGGCCAGGGAGATGGCTCAGTGGAATAAGCACTTCCCTGGCAAGCACAAGGGCCTGAGTTCAATCCCTGGTTCCGCCAAAAAAAGGGAAAGATTTATTTTATTTGGGCTTACAAATTGTAGAGATTTCAGTGTGTAGTTGGCTCACTGCACGGCAACATAGCATGGCAGATGGGCATTCAGAGGAGAAACAGTTCATGGCAGGCAAAAGGAAGCAAAGCATTGAAGTAGCAGAGAAGCAACAGATAGTGGTGGCAGCAGCCCTGTTTCTGTGCCTTATGTCCTGCCCAAGCTACGTGCCCTTAGGGCAGGCAGCACTCACACCCAGGGCGGGCCTTCCCATTATCCACACCTAGAGCTATGCCAAACCCATAAGTGGACTACTTAGTAATCATACACCCTTTATCCCAGCTTACACAGTATAGGTCCAGCCACTTCTGAAAAGCCCTATGATTGCGTAGAACTTTGGGGGGACATCTAGATACAACCCAAAACACTGTATATAGCAATTATATTTAGTGAATGTATTTGAATTACTTGTACAGATAGTTATTCAACATTTAATCAAGTTTCCTTGACTTTATGCTTCTTTTTTTTTTTTAACCTTTCTGTATTCTAGCCAATATCTGCCTCAGCTGCTTACATTTTGGGTGAAATATGTCGAGATAAAAATGATGCTGTTTTGCCCCTTGTACGACTGCTGCTTCACCATGATAAACTTGTTCCTTTTGTTGCTGCAGTGGCTGAATTAGACTTGAAGGATACTCAGTAAGAATTCTGTTTTATTAAATGTTAATGTTAATTATGTGTTGAAATTAGGCTTCATACCAAATTGTTCTGTAGCCTAAGTTCTTTTAAATTGAGTAGACTACATGAAAAGAACTGCCTATCAAGTTATAAAAGACAGTCATCAGACAGTGTCCATTTGTAGCAAGAATAATAGTAACAGATTTTTTTAAATTCAGTAATGAAAATTCTTATTGTGTGACCTGATGTATTCCATTGTAAAAAGCAATCAAGTAGCTTCCCAATTCCACTGTTAATTAATCCATACACATGCATGCAGACGCACATGCACAAAGATTTGTTGGTTCAAAGCAAGATCATTTAAAACAAAATTTAAAGCTATATATGGCCCCTATATGTCAATCTTGGTTAAAGATGAAGCTTCATAATACTGTTCTTAACACATTAGCCAGCTATAAAACATATAGCTTTATTATCAATAGCATAAAGATAAAGATAATAAAGAATTTCAAGATAGATGATAAAGTCAGAGAATTTGAAAAGCAGGGACTAGGGCGGTAACTCTAGGACGCAGGTTTGATCCCCAGTACTGCATGCTGTGCAGGTCCCAGGACTTTGGGCTCACCAAGCTGGCCACCAAAGCCAGGTATGGTGGCACACACCTGAAATCCCAGCACTGGGGAGGCTGAGATAGGAGGATCACTATGAGTTTGAGCTGTGTAGCGAGACCCTGTATCATATAAATAAAAGATTTTTTAAAAAAAGAATTCAGAAAGCAATGTTTCCTTATAAAAGAGCTTTCAAGTTGCTTGTAAAGTTAATCTAATTGAAAAGATGTACAAATGCTCTTTAAAAAAGTTGTTTTTTGATTCATAAACATGATTTCTTTTTTGTTTCTTTGTTTGGTTAACTGATTTTTCACATATTTTTGGGAAATAATTTTAAGTTTGAAAAACCTAATAGCATATTTTTAAAATAGATTATAAAAATTATATGACATATGTCAAATGTATCATATTATTATCTTCACAGCCCTGTTTTTACTACATTTGTTTTCATCTGTTTATATTTCTGTTTCAGAGATGCAAACACAATTTTTAGAGGAAATTCCCTCGCTACCCGATGTCTGGATGAGATGATGAAAATAGTGGGAGGGCACTACCTGAAAGTAACATTAAAATCTATTCTAGATGAGGTACAGAATATGCCCCCAATCCTGACCATTTGTTATAGCACCTCCTTCAACAAGTAATCTATGATAGGAAAATGTGACCATTTATGCATCAGGGAAAGAGTAAGGCTAGTAGTATTCAATAGTACTTTAGTAGTATATATCATTCTGTCAGTGGATTTTTGCCCAAAAGGCACATTATTATATAATCTACATATATTTCTTTAGTTTCGGTTATAAGTATATGAGAACTACTTCTGGAATACTTTTTTTTTCTTTTTCTTTTTTTTTTTTTTTTTGGCAGAATGTGGAATTGAACTCAGACCCTTGCGCTTGCCAGGAAAGCACTTATTCTACTGAGCCATCTCCCTGGCCCCTTGTTATGCTTCTTTAGGAAAGACGCTTAGAATAAGAGTTAGCTCAGGAATTTTAAACTTCATTGGAATTTTAACTTTTATAGTTTAATGTCTTAGTTACTTTTCTCATTGCTGAGACAAAATACCTGACACTCAAAGTTAAAGGGGGAAAGATTTAATTAACTCATATTTTATAGAGTTTTCAGTCCCTAACTGGTTGGCTCCAAGGCAGGGTGGCATGGCAGAGGGGCATCACAAGGGAAAAACAGTTCATGGCAGGCAGAAGTTAGCAAAGCAAGCATATAACCATCTATAAGTAACTAGCAATGAGCCTCTTTCTGTCCCTTTCATTATCCCTACAGGCACCATGAATCAGGCATGCACTTTAGATCCAGCTACCTCTGAAAAAGCCCCACCTGTCACTCCAGTAGGCTTTAAAGATACATCCAGATACACACCATAACAGTTTAACTTCTCAGAAATGTTATTTTCATTTTGTTGAATTATTTAGGAAAGAGCAATAATTGAAAAATTCATTTATTTTCCAGATATGTGAATCCTCAAAATCTTGTGAAATTGATCCTATTAAATTGAAAGAAGGAGATAATGTAGAAAATAATAAGGTAAGTGTTTTGTTATATTTATAACTGCATTAACATTGGTCTTAATAGTGTCACAATCTCCGTTTACATTGTAATAATGCTGTTTGGAGGGAAGCAGTGCTGTTTATTCTTTCCACTAGCCTTCGCTGAACGTGAACACAGTATTTCTGAGTACTTTTAGAATAGTAAAATAGTTTCCTTTTGGTTTTCCTCTTAGCTCTTTTTTGGCTGCAGTAACAATATAAGATTTGGGCTGTATCTAGTTAAGGTCTGCATTCTTTTTTTTTCCCCTTAGGTCAAACTCACCATTACCTCTTGGAAACTTAAAATTGTATTAAAGCCACAAATTTTCATTACAGTGTATAATAATGTTACAGTGTCTCAGTGCCAGCTTATCTAAATTATTTCCTTTATTTACTTTTTCATCATTTTATTGTCTTTTGCCTCTTTAAGAAGTTTATTCAAATATTTTCACCTATGTCTAATATGACTAAATTTAATTTATTAAGTGAGATCAGAATGTTAATTGGTTTTTTAATTTGGAGAAGGGAAGCAGGGGTTTTGAATACTAGATAGGAACTATCTAATCTTAATTTCATTACTTTTTTTAATAAACGCTGTGTGAAAATCAAAATCATAATGTTTACCTGTTTGGATCCTACAGGAGAATCTGCACTACTATGTAGACAAGTTATTCAATACAATTGTGAAGTCAAGTATGAGTTGCCCCACTGTAATGTGTGATATCTTTTATTCTTTAAGGCAAATGGCTACTCAGAGATTTCCAAGTAAGTGCCTTGTTTTACTAACCTGCTGCCACTTCTTTTTTCTGTTTTGGTTTTTTTTGGTTTTTTTTAGGTATTTTGTGTTTTGTTTTTGTGCATGCCTAGTTACTCTAGAAGCTGAGGCAGGACAATCATAGTTAAAGGCCAGCTTGGGCAACTTAATACCCTGTCTCGGAATAGCATTAAAATGGCAGGTCAGATAGGAAAAACATGTCAGTCACAGCATATATAGAATTTTGGTGTTATATATTCAGTAACTCTAACATGCTTTAATTTTGCCGAAGTAGCTATGTTAAGGTTTTACTTGGAAACATTTCATAAATGATGAGTTGCTATCTCTGTCAGTACTTGGAATTACTCTAATACGTCTTATATATAAATAAACTTGGCTGTAGCTATCTTTCCCGATCTGCATATAATGCAGGGAGGGATAAGGCAGCTACTTAAATTGTCAGTTTTATACAACTATATGAAACCCTTATATCTGTAGCCATTTGAAGAAATTTTGTGACTTGGTGTTTTTTAAAGTGCTATAGTCTGGTTGTCTAACTTGTAGATAAATTCAGATCTAGTTATCTTGGCTAATTATAATAAAAACATTTAACTTCTAATAAATATGCTAAATCTAGTCTTTATAACAAAAAGTAGAAACAATATATGAAAATAAGACATGCTGACTAAATTATATTTTTGAGTAGTTAGACTATGATATCTACAATGTCTACTTTTGAATGGGCACAGTGCTAGCCTACGTTATATACCCTCCTCTTCTCAACATCAGCTTGAGTTAATCACTGCTTCCCATTGGTTAGGCAACAAAACTAAAGTCAAGAGGTTGAAAAACTTTACCAAATCTCATAGTAGGCCTTAGGCAAAGCAGGCAAGTAGCATCTCAGCCTGGGCCTGGCTTTCTCGAGAGCACAACTACTAATTGCTACTTTATAGTATCCAATGATCTTAGCCTCAGATCTGCTTTAGCTGTGTAATTCTTATTTCTATAAATAATCTATTAGACAAACACAGGGATCAGGATTTGATCCCCAGCATCACATGTTGCGCTGCCCCCGCCTCCTGGGTATACTGAGCCACCAAGACCCAGGGTGGTGGCACATGCCTGTAATCCCAGCCTGTAATCGCAGCACTAAGGAGGCTGAAAACCAGAGGATCACTGTGAGTCCGAGCTACATAGTGAGACCCTGTACTAAATACATTAAAAAAAAAAAAAAAAAATCTAAAGCATACCTTACATCTTTTTAGTAAGTGTAACTATTACCTCAACTGTCTTTTGTTGGATTAACTGTTATTATTGTGTCTTCATATCCACAGTAAGTAGACTTCAGTATTGATAGTTTTATTACTATAAAATATTTTCATTTTTCCTTGTTTTCAGTACCTTGGGAATATAGGAGTGGAGGCAGCAGGTGGGAAGCAAATATTAAAAAAAATAAGTTAAACAATTTATTGGTTACCTATTGAGTAATTTGTAAGAGTTAAAACTCAAGTCAATCCCAGAGATTGCCCCCTCACCACCTGCTTCTCTACCATCTGATTGTTGGGTCAAATGTTGACTCTAATCTGAAACAGATGCTGGTAGGTGAATGATCAATGCTACAAGTACTCTTCAATTCATCTGCATTTTTACATGAATTTTTGCTTCACTTTTTAAAAGTAAATATGACTGTTAGCTGGGTGAGGTGCCATATCTGCAGTCCCAAAACCTGAAAACTGTGGCAGGAGGGTTATTGCAGGTTCAAAGCCTCAAGGCTACATAGTGAGACCCTGTCTCAAAACAAACAAAAAGATGTCTTAATTGTTTTTATTGCATAGCCTTTGGTATCATCAAGATTTTTAGAGGGAAATTGAAATAATAACTTAAAACTGAAAGCTGTCTTGTAAGATTCACTGTTACCACTAGGTAGTGCTACACACTAATTTTTGTTGAATTTTGAAGTCTGGTAGATGAGGAAAGAAGTATTTTTTCAAATTAAAATATTTCAGAAAGCCTAACAACTCTGCCTTTCATTTTCTTTATTTCTTACATCTTTAAGATTTTTTAATCATAGTATTTTTTCTTTAATTTAGTCATAATCATTATCATTTCATCAGCTCTATACTTACAAGCCAAATTATATTACTCTCTTGCTTAGTTTACTTTTTTTTGTATTTTTTACTTTATCATCTTTGTTTTTCTATTCAGTGTTTTTGTGCATGACATTTCACCATTTTTTTCTGCAGATGACCCTCATGTTCAGTATTCTGCAGTGAGCAGCTTTGTATTCCTTCGTTTCTTTGCTGTAGCCGTAGTATCACCTCATACTTTTCATTTGCGACCTCATCATCCAGTAAGTGTTTGTTCTTCTCAAAGCTTTATTCCATTTTATTTATTTTTAGTAAAATGAAGAAAGGATAAAATAAGCGAATTTCACTTGGCTGTTTTCTTATAACTAACACTTAGATATACTTGTCATTTTTCTTGGCCCTTTTAGTCTTTCAGATAAAACTAAAAGTTCTATTGTTGAGGTTTTTCACAATGGTGATAAAATAATGGTAACTGTTGAAATTTGGTGATGAGCACAAAGGGATTCATTTTCCTCCCTCTGCTGTTGTGTATGTTTGTAGATTTCCATAATATAAGTCTGTGCTCTACCCCATTAGGTTTAGTTTTAATTGTGACAGTGGTGGTTGGGATGATTGTTAATAGACCAGCTTTCCTGATTTAGTAAATAGTCTAATCCCAAGGATATTCTATAGTCTTATGGAAATTTGAAGAGGCTTACTTCTGAAAATTGTAGGAATTTTTATTAGAATATAATTTGTTTCATATCTCTTATTTTTTTACTTTTACTCACTTCATATATTTAAATTTTTTAAAGTATGTAATCTTTTTGTTCTGAACCTGTATTTATTTACCTAAGTCTGCTCCACAGATTTATATGTTTATTTCTTTTAATATTTTAAAAATTCTTTTTTTTGCTATGTATGTTTGTTTATACAATGTATTTTTGCTGATTCTTTAACCTTTTGTGTTCTAAATATTTTATAACCTTAGCTGCTTTTAGTTGCTGACTTGTATAACAAATAATAACAAGCAACATTTATTTAGTGCTCATTTTATACTGGGCTTTCTTCTAAGCACTTTAGTCCTTGTAGTAAACCTAGGAATAAATTCTATTATCAACCTCATGTACAGGTAAGGAAATCACAGTACAGTAACTTCTCCAGACTTATGTAACTAATAAACTATGGTTAGTTCTTACTCAGTTTGAACTGGACTAAAGTGGAATTCTAAATCACTCTTCTATCCTTCCTAGTTTAACCCTATTCCTTCCAAACGTGTGAGCAGACAGATAGATGTTGAAGTGCCTGTGTTGTACCAAGCACTGTGTTCAACCCTGGAATTGCAGTGATGAGTAAAGTACTTCCTTCCTTGGGAAAATCACAACCCAAAGGAGTTGCCCACTGAGTAACACAACATAAGGAAGATAAATAGGTTTTTGAGTTAGAGGGGTTCTGAATGCCCAGTCTTTCTGGGCATTCTCCACACTGGGCCCTCATTTAACTTTGTGAGAACTGAGCGAAACCATGTTACAGTGGCAGCAACACACCCTTTCTTGCTAAAGGACAAATGTTTTATGTAACTATAATAGAGTCAGCTAGTGTCCTTTTGTTTGCAAGGCTATCCTTTCTGTCCCTATGTTGCTAAAGCAGTACAATAGACTGCACAGCTAATAAGTGAAAGTTCATTAGCAACATTTTGTACATAAGCAAAACTCTCACCTCTGAACTCATGACTGTGCCTTGTATTAGAGCTGGAATTCTATATTCCTGTAGTAGACATTGCAATAATATCTTATTTTCTGGTCACAAACTGTATTTTATGTCAGTATTTTCCAGTTAGTATGATAGGAATGCTCCAAAACTTTCATATAATTTTATTAGGTTTTTATCTCAAATTTTATTCTGTCCCTTCCGTCTGTCCATCTGTCCATCTGTCCGTCTGTCCTTTGGTTGGTTGGTTGGTTGGTTGGTTTTTATTTGTTGTTTGTTTTTTTGTTTTCCATTTCCCAGCAGGGCTCAAACCACATTCCTATTTTTAAAAACATGTGGCTTAGTTGGCATATGACACATAATTCAAAATGTTGTGTGTAAATTGAAATCAACTACCTGATTAGTACCAAATAAGGCTCTAATACAGAAACTGAGAATAGGAAATGATCCCAGTGAGCTGGGGATGCTGATATTATCAAGATCAATATTTTAGGTTACATAGTAGTTATGGAGGAGAACTTATTTTTTTTCTTTTCTTTTCTCTCTCTCTCTCTCTTTTTTTTTTTTCAAAACCGGGGATTGAACTCAGGCCCTTGCACTTACCAGGCAAGCGCTTATTCTACTGAGCCATCTCCCGGCCCCTGATTTTTTATATATATATATTTTACCTTTAGAAGTTGTTTAAATTTTGAGAAAATAGAGTAAAAGAGAAGAAAATTGGTTTGCAGAATATTAAAGAATAAGTAGGTAAATATATTTTAATCCTAGAGAATAAATCAAAAGTGAGCTTTTCCTGCTGCTAACGCTTAGAAATTGAAGCATATGCATATGCATGCATATATATACATGAATGAATGAATAATTTTTTAAAAAGACACTCATGATGAACTACTCTTGAAACGTTTCATGATACTAAGAATAAAAGAGTGGACCATCATTCTCATTATATTCTGCATTGTCCCATTGATACCAGCTTTTAAGACCCAGCCATGGCTGACTTCTTAAGCCTCTTAGTTTGGTACGTGCCTCTGGCTTATCACCAGTTGAGACTGGGAAGATTACTTAAGATACAGGCAGCCTGAAGAAGAGACACAGAACTGTGGAATGTCTGACATGTCTTTATTCAGCTGTTCAGTTCAGCTCAGCTCACTTGATCTGTTCAGCTGATTAGTCATAGTCCATATGTCTACCCACTCTGGAGGACCCCAGCCGGCCCTCATGGCAGTCCACATCTATAGCAAAATACACAATAGTGGCCAAGTGCCAGTATTGATCTTAGTTTATTATTTAAGTTGTTTACATAGAGACTGCAAGGTGTGCCTGTGCTGGAATTCTGCTGAGTTGCACTTAATGTCTCCCAGAACCCTCCCTTCCCACCCCCCAGTTTGACCTATAATGTAGCTATCTTGGACTTCAATTTTCCTTAATAGCCTGTCTTACTTCTGTAGCATCCTTTGGGTATGTCTCTGTCTCTGTCTGTCACATGGAATTTTGAATCATGCATAGCTTTTTAGTCTCTTAATTCCTTAATCAAATGAGTTTTGTCTGATCTTACCTAGATTTTGCCTAGACAGGAGGTTTGAATGAACATTTTTGAGTCATTGTTTAGAGTCACCTCTGCTCTATTTTTTTATAAACTTCTGTATCTTGAAAACTTAAGAATTGTGGCCTTTTTTACATGTTTTAGGATGCACAGACAATTAGGACATTAACTCTCATCTCAAAAACCATTCAAACTTTGGGAAGCTGGGGCAGCCTGTCCAAAAGCAAAGTAAGTATTTTATGTCTTTTTTTCTGTCTTTTTACTTTTCATTTTATTTTTGCAGCACATAAAGACTACATTCATCACAGGGAGCTGATACATGTTTTTTTCATATTTCTAAATATTATTATGTATCTTATAATGTTTTACTTATGTCCCTCCTAATTAAAAACAACAGTAGCCCTTGGGTATGTTTTAGTCTAGGTTGTGGCTAAGGTCTGTGGACAGGTTCAAAAAGTAAATCCTCTTTTGCAACCCAGAACTTAATATTCAGTGCACGTTTTGATACATATAAAGAGGAATACTACTGCTAGGCACAGTGGTGCAAGCCTGTGATCCTGGGACTCCTGAGACTGAGGCATATTGAAACTCTGCCTCAGAAAACAAAGCCAAAACAAAATCATCACAACCTTACAATATCAATTAAAGTGAGAGAATGTGTTTAAAAAGAAAAACCACTGGTTTGACCCTAGTGTCTGTCTTCTGTCTGTCTATCTGTGTAAAAGCTGTCTTTTAGGTGCTTACCTATTAAAGAGGTATCTTAAGTTACCTTTTAAGAAGATAATTTTACTTATCTTAATTCACCTGAGAGTGAAAGGGAATCTTGTAAGAAGATACAGGAGCAATCTAGTTTGTCTATGGTATAATCACCTAACAACTTTCAAAGAAGTCTTCATATCCTGTATGAAGTTCATACTCTGTACCCCTGGAAATACATAATTAAATCCTTTTAGCCTTTAATCCTTAGTATAAAAGTACTGTTCATTATTTTCTCTGTGCTCCACTTAATATATATAAATCCTCTTTGCTTTTTCTTAGTCAAGTTTCAAAGAAACATTCATGTGTGAATTCTTCAAAATGTTTCAAGAAGAAGGATATATTATAGCAGTTAAAAAGGTATGTTGTGGGTTTGTTTTTTTATTTTTTTTTTTTCTGGAAGAAAAATTACCATTTCTTGTCATACTCATGAGGGAAATAACATTTCATGTTTTAAGAGGTAGTTTCCAGTTTAAAAAAAATAATGGCTCAACTGTCCATCAAAAGAGTTCTCGGGGCCGGGGAGATGGCTTAGTGGAATAAGCACTTCCTCGGCCAGCTCAAGGGCCTGAGTTCAATCCCCGGTTCCACCAAAAAAAAAAAAATCAGCCAAGCTAAGACGTTCGAAAAAAAAAAAAAAAAAAAAGGTTCTCATGTTTTTCTTTCTTCTATCATACAAAGCGGAATTTTTCTGCTATAAAAATATTTATAAACAAGTCTTAGCAATAGCTACTTTTTCCATTACCTTAGTAACACAAATCACAAATTTCTGGAGTTGAAGTTTTTCAACAACATTATCAACTTTACGGCCAGATAATTCTTAATTGTAAAGGGCTGACCTCTATGCTGTTAGGATGTTCATCAGCATCCCTGAATTATATGTGAGTAGTATATCCCCAGTTTTGACAACCAGAAATGCCTCCAGACATTGCAGATGCCTCTTGAAGGACAAAATTGCCTTTGGTTGAGAATCTTGGCCTAAGCTAAAGGTTTATAATGTATAAACCATTATAGGTTTATAGTGTGGGTACAAACCTTTGTAGTATACTATAAAGTATAAGTGCATTTAATGGCCCTAGTGTGTGTGTGTGTGTGTGTA